TGCAGTAAGAAAAGTTGATAAGGTGTGTACTAATATTACTACGAATAAAAAAAAATATAAAATATACTTTTTATAAAAATAAAGAAGCAATATTAGACACATGTGAAAGATGGCCAATGTGCTTTCACAATTAAATGGGTTCCTGCCTCTGAACAAGTTCCCAGTTATACATATCCATACATGTGCTGCCTTTTTTGCTCTAACAGTATGGTATATAGTTTTTTTAGACTATTTTCATGTTTGCACATGAGTTTTTCCCTGCTTTATGAGCTGATCACATTAAATGTTAAATTAAAAGTGAAATGATATGCACAGTCCTTTGTGCTCCTTATCAGAACAGGGGGCACAAAAGCAGAATTATTTGGGGTCTATTCACTAAGCTACCGTAGGCAGCCGAGTGAACGACAGACCTGAAACAAAGTGAGCTGAACGCTGTTCGGCTATTCACTTCAGGCTGGTACGGCTGATTTCAGCCGTATATCGGCTGAAATCAGCCGTACATCGGTGGCTTCGGGTCGGCCGAACATGCTCAGCATGTTCGGCTGACCCGCAGTGCAGAAGGAGTTTGACTCAGCCGATCCAACATCTAGATCGGCTAAGCCGAACCTACGGAAGGCTACTTGCTGCTGTTCGGTCTATTCTTATAGATGCCGAACAGCAGTGAGTAAATAGCCAAATGCCGCTGAGCGGCATTCGGCTCGGCTGTTCTGCTCGGTCCCTCTGTGGGTCTGAGCAGAACAGAAAAATAGTTTAAAAAGTACAAAAAAATAAATAGAAAACGATTGTGCGGAGCTAGCAGTGACAGCCAGCTCCACCCAACTGTTTTCTATTGGCCGGGCGGTTCTGCTTCCGTAAAAAAAAAATTCCGCCATTGCTAGATTCCTATTGGCTATTTCAATTTGCAATAGCCAATATCAAACTAGCTGTTGCACCCGCCCTCTGCTACTGTCAATCACTAGAGGGGACCTGATAAAGAACTGTAGGTCTCCTCTGCAGATTGACAGCAGCAGTGGACGGGTGCAATAGCTAGTTTGCTATTGGCTATTGCAAATCGAAAAAGCCAATAGGAATCTAGCAATGCATTCCTATGGTGATTTTTTTTTTAAATTCTGACCGCAGCCAACGGCTCCATGCCAGAAAAAAAACAATGGGCCGAAGCTAGCCGAAGGATCAGCCGAAGCTACGGCTAGATCCTTCGGCTGCTTCGTGAATAGACCCCTTTGGATTGTTAACATGGGACAAAAGAACACCATTTTCTCTTACTAGCTTCTCTTACTGTTCCATTTGGGAACCGCTAAAAGTGTTTGTTACAAATCCTTCAATTTGCTCCACTCATTTTGGTTTATTTCTAAAATAAGCCTTTCTAAAAAAAAGCTGTTGAAAAGACACAACACAAGGCTTCCTCTCTCCTTATTTTCACCGTAATACAGCATTTATCTAATTGTCAAAGACAATTGTCAAAGACTCAATCACATCTGATCAATGAATCACACCTTAAACAGAGTGACAGTTGCACTGTAGAAGAGGCTCAGTAGAAAGAGCACTATAAAAGTGGAAGCCGTGGTCCAGAGATTATCAATATCATCATCTTCTTCTATATAGATCATTTGGGCTGTTGGAATGTGACAAAGAAATAGCATTAATGACACTGGGTCATGTGCAGAGTTTCAACTGCAGAGTTGTGAACTACTAAAAAGGTATTTGATAACAGCAAAATTAATTTCAATGCAGACATAAACATACATGCACGCACACATATGTACAAACATACAGTACATATAATTTTGTTAGAGACCGATCATGCAGGATTTTATATTCCATTCAGAATAATAAAAGTGCCTCTCCAGCTACTTGTTTCTTAGTTTTGGATAGAGTAGGGAAGGGTAAGAAATCTTGTCATGTATCCTTGTGTCCTTATATCTCTCCACTTCCTCTCCCCCTGTCTATCTAAAACTATTCCCACTTTAATTCCATGAAAGCTGAAAGGGACATACATGTATAAATTGGCAGGTTCTGATCACATAGATTGCTCACGCTGCCATAGGACAAATACTTTACACATATGGTGTTAGGGAACAATCAGTAATGGAAGGCTCTGCTATTTAAATGGACTCCGTGGAAAAACTATGCAGTTATGGGCTTAGTGCAATGATTCATACTGTCAAATGGGATTTGAATGTCTGACCTAGGTGTCTGACTATAGCTGGAAGAATTGGAAGAATTTTTACTCCAGTGAAGTTTTTCCATTTCAATAATTGTAAATAATCTGGACAGTATTCCTAATCTGGACATTATTATGGTTTTCTTCACTATGTTATTAGGAAATAAATAGGATTATTGCAAAGCCTGATATCTGACCACTGATGAGTGAAAAATATAACATCTCATATGTTTTACTGATTTTATATTGGTTTGACTATTACAGCCCTGCTTTACATCATATGTCATTTTTCTCATGTGGTCTATTTGTATTTAAGTTCCCATGTGTCAATATCAACAGATATTAATAATATATAAAGATGTCACTAAGGAACCTAGCTGGGAATAAATGTAATGTTATTTATCCATTTTCTTGAAACCGTGACATGGCTCATGTCTATCTTTTAAAAGTATAGTACATGTACTGCTATATTAGTTTGGGATAAATAAATATACTTATATTCTTCTGTCTTATAATAAGATAATGAGTTTAATTTTCCCAGATTCCTTGTGAACTACCCAATATGTGCTTTAACGTGTGTACCTAATAAAAAACTGATCTGGGATCATTTATTGGTAACTGAAAATTTAGATTCAGTGTGGTATATGTCTATAAACTTTGGAGACATCACACTGAACAATGAGTGTAATTTAAAAGTATGAATATTGCAAAGGTTTGATTACCTGATATGCAATATCTGGGCATAGTTTATTGATAGTATGTGCTTAAATATCTGAGAAATGTATAAATAATAACTGTTTGTCCTCTTTCCTGTATCGTGTCCTACATGTCCCTTATTGTTTGACTGCATCACATAAATGTGATGTCAGAGCAACTATATTATTATCAAAATCAGTAAATTTTAATGTTTGCATAGTTGTATGTCTGAGTATGTCATCCTAATGTATTTAAGGCCCAATCCTAATGTATTTAAGGCCCAATTCATGAAGATTTACACAAGGATATGGATCTTTATTTCAGCCAATTGACTGTCATTTTTAAATCTCATTGGTTCCAGTTGAAAATAACTGCCTTTTTGGAAATAAGGATCCTTATCCTGGTGTTTTAGCTTTGTGAATTGAACCTTTAGTGTATTTAAATTAATAATTAACTTTCAGCTCATTTGCAATCAAATCTTTTTGGCATGACCTATTTATATTTGTTTAGAACTTTCATTGGGTACTTTGAAGTAAAGCCTATGCTTTTAAAGTAAGAATTTAACAAATGTAGTGCACCCATAACACAGAGTAGACCACCTCCTGATAATACAGAGAAGGCCATTCTTTTCTTTAGGAGTACACGTTAGCAGCTGTTTCACTTTAGTGTGATTGGCTTTATTTACACTTGTGCCTAGTATTTTTTATAAAGGCCGTTCATTTTTTTTCCTTTCAAATAACAATAGTGTATTTTGCTATTATCAGGGTTTCCTGTGTAGCATATTTCATGTGCTATGCATATAAATGAGAAAGCTCCAACAAAAATGTGTGTGTTTTTTTGTTGTTGTCTTGACCCAGATTTGTGCATTCATTTCCCATATATTGTCCCATTTACCTAGTATATGTATTTAAGTTCTATAACCCAAGAACTATGTACTGATCACTATTATTTAATGACTTTTAATACAAAAGAAATAGCATTTGCCTTCTAAGCATTGTAATTTAGGTTTTTTTTTATATTGATAGTGTTATACTGAGAAAAAAAGGACAAACATACAACTTTAAGCCAGGAACCAAACAAGGACAGACAGAGAGTGTTAGGCAGGGAATGGGAAAACATTTTTAAGTATTTGTTGGATTTGTTGGACATAGTTGTAGTTATCTGCATATTTATTATAGTTTTATAGAAACACTATTAGTTTGTATACAATAGAGCCCAATGCTTATGCCCTTTTCAGAAAACAAGGTCTGGGGCCTCTTTGTAGATACAAAAATAACAGCCCTATTTGTATCTATTCTATTATTTAAAGGAATATATATGTAAAATTGTTTTCGCCTAGGTACTAGATGGAGATCATTTTATGGCACCATTCGAAGAGCAAGACTAAAGTTTCTGAGCTTTGGTATAAGGTGGCCCAAGACAACATGCTTTCCAGACTTCTGGATAATGACTAAACTTTATTAATGTAATATATATTCATTTTTGCTGCACCTGTGTTTTCTGGTTCTTGGGTCACTCCTAAAGCTAGCTAAAGGTACATGAAGGCTTTTCTGTCTGCATACAAATCCAACTTTAAGTTTGCATGCTTAATGTTTAGCATTACTTTGCTTTAAGGGAATCACACTTTATCCTGTGATGATTTGCAGAGATCCAGAAGAAATGAGTTGATGGACACGGTTGTAGACCATAAAAAGCAAGGCTTTTAGTTTATTGTAGCTGACTCTTGAAAACTGGTTATAATGGGTTAGTGTGCTACACTGATGTTTTATTCAAGTTATTATATAACCCTAAGTGTAGACCATGAAGAGTGAGCACAGCCCATATTCACATGTTATTTTATGCATAGAAGTTGATTTACTAAAGGCAAATAGGCAGTTCTCTCTGCAACGTTCACCAAGCTAAGGGACAATTCCCTTGCAAAGTGAAAATTTCATTGCAAAAGAAACAGCCAATTAGCCTTTAGCAAATCATCCCCACAGTGTTGTCTTTGTGTGGGAGGTAGGAATCTGGGACAGTTAAGGAAGCAACTTCAGCAACCATTGTTAGTTCTCAGCTTCACTCTGAACCATACAGAAACAAGACAGCTACACACATTCCATACATGAAAACAAGCATTTTATAAATTGATTTTTTTTATTTCTACTTTTCCAGATGCAGAAAGGATTCATTGAAGTTAATGTACAAAAAGCAGACCAACAAACACCAAGATGACACGCCTCCTTCTTTTTTCTCCTCATTTTACACATAACACAAGGAAAAACAAAAGGCTATGTTATCTGGCCAGTGTTTAAAGGACGGTTAACATGAATCAGACATATTGAGGGTCACATTCACATTAGTTGGTTTACCAGCAGTTTTGTCAATGGTCCTTTGGGTGGTGTATAGTGGTAGTGATTCATGGCCAACTATACAGGTGTATGATTTCCCATTGTTCCAATCTTCAACATTTGTCAGGGTTAATGTGCTAAATAGAAAGTAGGTTTTCTTGCTAGAAGAAGTGATCTCCTCCATAGGCTTAGTGGTTACAACATGAGACTGCTCTACGTTATCACTGTTTATCCATTTGACAAATATGTCTGCTGGGGCGAAACCTTTAACCAGGCATGACAGGGTGGCAGTTTCTTTTTTAGCTAATTCATCTTGGTGTGGTGGGAACAGTAAAACCGTTGGAGTTCTTGCATCATGTCCTAGGAAACAATCAGAAAATTTGTAAACATCAACTGAATCTGAATTAATGGTGTGCTTTCTCTGAGATGTAGAACATTTGGTAAAAACTGGCACTGAATGTCAGAGAATTAGGTGATTCTGTATAGATATGGCTCACCCACATTATGACCATTCCTCAGACCCAGGGAAGGAGGATGAATGATTTGTTAGATAAATACGTGGATTGGGAGCTTCAAATGCTACCTGACAGGTGCACCTATGTGAGTTATTGTTAAACATTAGACTCAACTCGCTGTCCACAATTAAAACTCTCTACTATTAAGATTATCTAAAAAATTTTACTAGTTGTGAATGCCTGAATCCTGTAGTTAGTTTACTTTTCTTCAGCCTAACTTTATAGCTGCATTGGACTACATAAACTGAAAGACAACATCAATAACAAGTATGAACCCCATAAAAGGTTTAGGGTACTGGGAATCATACAAAATAAGAAATTACTGCTTTACACTAACAGTGGCAATATATTCAAAACCTGTACTCTCTATTAGAACAAGATTTAGTAGACTGTTTCCTTTAAACTTGTTGAATTATAGAATTAATGAATGACTGAATGAATAAATAAAATATAAATGGTATGAAAATCGTTTCAGTAAAGTGTTGCATGACAGAATAAACATCAGTCAAAGTACCGCAGCACTGAATACTGAAAAATGGCCTGGCCAGGAAGGGGGTGAGACACTATGGCCTTTAAGTGGTTAATGAATTAAAAATTTGTGCCTACACATGTTTATAAAAAACTGCAAATGTCAAAGTGCAGAAAGCTTCATCTGTGCCACAATTTGTGCTTATTTGTGCATTTAATAAAGATTGGGATTCTTAAATAGGCAATAAATACATACCATTTGGTTTACTGAGTGTGACAACTACAACACGGGGAAGCTCAGGATGGGTCACTCTGCACTCAAAGGTCTTTGTCTTCCAGTCTTCAGGACAAACCGTAGCAATGGCCTTGGCAGTGTACTTCCGTGAAGGAGTGTCATATATTGGGTCTTCTATTTCAGTGTTAATTGCAACATTATTTGCGTACCAGGTGACCTCTAATCCATCTCTGTTTTCCATGTTTGAAATAATGCAGGTGAGTGGGGCAATGTTCTGGAGATAAATAGTTTCAAATAATGGAGGCACGGCAGTCACTTTGATATCAGCGGGAGGATTGGGTTCTAAATAAAAAAGAAAATTAAGAAAATTAGAATACCTTGTTCATGTAACTATTGTATTTGCACATTTTTTTATTGACAGATTAATTAGTTGAACAGTAAAGAATCATTAAATGTGTAAGAGCAGCTTGGCAATAAGAAAATATATGGCATATATATACATTGCTATACAGTTGATCTGTCTATGTTAGCTCAAATTGTAGATAGCAGTGTTTTCCATTGATTTACTGGAGGCAGACTGTACAGGAGAAAATTGCTTTCCATAAAATCACTTTCATTTAAAATATTTTCCAGCCTAACAGGTCATAAAAGCTCTATTTTTTAAAACTACAGTTTGAGAACCAGCCTCAGGATGAATGGTAGCCTGTGTATAGTTTTAGTGTGGTGTTCCCCCGCTAACACCATGTTGCATGGGGCATGTTAATTGCAGTAAGATATCTCCTACTAAAGCAGATAGAACATGATCTCACCTACACACGCTCTTTCCCTTCCCAAACTACATGCTTTGATGATAAATTCAACCTTGCATTTTTTGGTGCAATTTTATTCAATCCCTTTATAATGGTCCTCATTTTTGCAGGTTGAAACAGAAACAGTGAAGCTCACGTAGCAAAGTGAATGTTTACTTAGCTTAGTAAAAAAGGCAAAGCCATGCTTGCTTTGAATACCCAGTCATGTGTAAAAGAAATACAAAAAATGATTTTTGCTTGCATATGAATGGATGACTAAGGTGTATGCAGCTCCACCTCATTCATAAAGCTAAATGAATATTTACTTTTTGCAAAGTGAGCATAGACTTTACAAATAAACCCCAATGTTTACTGCATGCTGGCAGCTTTTGATAAACCATGACAATGGTCAGTTAGGATTCAGCATTGCATATGACATATAAAGTCCTGCTTTACCATACACTAGGGAAGATTATTTTAACCATGCCTGACAGTTATCTGCCTTGCACATAGCACAAACATGCAGGCCAGAGTGAAGGTTTCTATGAATAGAAAGAAAATGGGAGGCAAGGAGAAGCATGTTCCTTAACAGCCTTATCAACCCTCACAATGACAACATCCTCTCTGAATACACAGACCTAAAGCCTGCACTACTAGTTTGTTACTGCTGTAATAAATTTTTATATAAACCAATGTAAAGTTTATATGAAGTAACATTTAAGATTTTATGTTCATGTTTTACAAAGGAACTTTTACTGGATCGGACAGAATCTAAAAGCACTTACCACATACAGTTGATTTGCTCACATTCCTCATCTCATAGAAGCCAGAGGCAGAGTGATTCACTATACATGAGAAAGTGATATCTGTATCCCAATCTTTTTTAGATACTACGATAAAAGAGGTTATCATAAAACCTCCATTTCCATCAGAAACTGCTTCTTCTGTTGTGGCAATAACAGGCACATCATGATTCTTCAGCCATTTTACTTCAATGATCTTAGGATAAAATCCATGCGCGATACATGCAATTGTGGCATTGTCATTAAATTCTACATCATCCTTGACTGGCGGATGAATGGTTACTATTGGTTTTCTTGATACTTTAAAACAAAAGAGAATGTGTTCAGTATTCCTGGTATACTTTGTCAAATGATACAGATCAATCACACAAATTACAATACAAGAGGCACTGATCATTGCAATATGTTACCCTTGGCTTCACACCTCTGTGTCTCCATTTTCCATTTTTTTTTCATTGCTTTTGATAAGAGCAGTGAAATGTGTTGACATGCACTGCCATTCCTATCAAAGGTTCTTAAAATGAGGGCCAATAAATGAAAAAAAAATGGACATAAACTTTTTTTGGCCAGTACATGTCAATGCACTGCATATTTGTATACCATCACCTTTGAAATAATGGCAAATCTCTGCATCTTCATTTACATTCATTAAAACACACCATTTTTTAATACATAGGTGTGAATAAGTGCATAGTCAAAGGTATTCCAATCCTTTTAACCTTCTGAGCGACATGTAAATATATAACTAAAGCTTACATATACATAAATAGGGTCTTCGGTTAACACTGTAATATTACTCTGTATTGTAATGGTATTATATAAATTGAATATCCTCTGCTTTATATTTAAATAAATTACTATGCACCAGATGTTCAGACAAAGAGGTGCTTTAAAGTTTAACTGTTACTGTGAGATTGCACAGTAAACCATTTAAGAAAGTTGAAAGCCACATGTTGATTGCAAGGATGTAGCTGTAGATTTCTGATTTAACTTTTTGTATAGAGATGAATACATTTGACCTGTACAGTGTTTATAAAAAAAAAAATAATAATGCATTTATATTATAGATACAAAAATACAATGTGTTTGGTATAAAGAATATGCCTCCAGTAAGGAGGTATGTTTGCTAAGCACTACCCAATAGCTTGATCAGTAACTGAGACACACTAGTTAGCGGGCCTAACTATGACATAGTAAAACCTGCTAGCCTCAGTCAGCAGCTGCATACCAGAAGTTTTAAAAGTGTTAGCAGTCTGCTAAATCTGCTGTAACACTTTAAAAACTTCTTGCTAAGTCTATAAGCACCGTTTTATAAACTTTAAGGTGCCATTCTATCTGAAAAAAGGTTAAAAAACTATTGTTACTTTACTTGAATATAGTCAAAATAGAAGGTTCTTACCATGTGGTATCTGATTCTGAAGTAACACAGTCCTGGTACCCTGTGGATGTTTTGCAGTGCAGTAATAAGCATCACTGCCTTCCCAGCTGGTAGTTAGCACTTGTATCTGGGAGCTTGCTGCGTAGGTGCCTCCAGATTCCAACACAGGATTGTATTTCTTTAAGCCAGTGGTAAAGCTGCTGTTGGCCTTATCTGCAAAGTTGAATTCAATGGATTCTGGGAGGAAATTCCTGGCCAGACAACCAATGGTGGTGCTCTGTCCCTGTGACGTGCCGCAAGAAATAAGTGGAAAGAGAGATGGGGCCGACGATGAGGCTGAGAATAGAAGCAAAAGGTGGAAGGAATGAGTACTGTGGTTAGGAGCCAGAGTTTAGTTAAAAGGAGTGATTTGAAGATATTTCAGTTTTGGTTCCAACTGAAATTAATTAATACCAGATGCATGGTTGCAGTTAGTGTTAAAAAAGTGAGCTAAAGGTTCAGATTAAAGTTGGAAATAGGATGAGATTTCTGCTAGAATTATATAACCTTTTCCATAAATGTTTTGATTATAATGTATTTATATTATTTAAACAAATAGTTGAAGAAATTTAAGATCTTAAACACTGCACCAGTTGAAATGCTGGAACTCTTTAAATGCAGGTGACTGGCTAATCGTGACATAAAATAATATACAATTTTACATAGAAAGTTTCTGTATTCAATATAATATTTAAGCAAACAAAATATAATATTAGAATTTCTCAAATGTACTTGCATTAGGTCATGTTTTTTTGCTTCAGTACTTGGGTTTCAGAATGCTTTCCACAGTGTTTACACTGAGCATCTTCAGACTGCCACTTAAGCATGTAGTGAGAAATGAACATACAATGTGAGTGTGAACTCAGCACTTACTCATATTGTTTCCTTTACCTTACAGCCCTTAGAATTCTTGAAAAAAAGTCATGTATTTGGAACTTTATGGTATAGTTCTCATTAAGGTCTGGCACATGCTGTTTAGATCACTGAAATAATGCTGATATCAAGGTGGCCAATTAGAAATAACATCCTTTAATCTTTCAAATGTAGGCTTCTAAAAGCTGGTACATGATTGGTTAACCTTAAATACTGCACTCTACTGCTCATTGAATTATATTTTCAGGAAATCAAAGTTCTGTTCATCAATTACATTCCTTTAGTCACAAACTGAGATTCTATTACAAAAACTTTCTGTCTGCAAATGCAAACATTTCTGTTGCCACATGTGGGTTATGCTATCAGGTAAGACAATACATTGACTGGTAAAGGTGATGCCAAAATAATTCTAATTCCAAGATCTAGCCAGGGTTTAGAAATAACCAGAAGTTATGTTAAATTATGTACTGTTTCTGTACAAACAGAAACAGTCTACACTCTACTCTCCTATTGGAACACTGCTAATTTTATAATGCTACACTATAATGTGTGTATATAGCCAAACAATATTAATAGGGATACAGTCAACTGCAAACCTGATTAAAACAGTAGCATTTTCTTAGATTAGATTTTTTAGGTTCTTTCGACAGCATACTAGCCGGTATGCATATTGAGCATCCACTACTTAACATTTAAACTACATATATGAACCCATATTTAGAACAGATTTAATAAAGGACTACAGAATGTTCAAAAAATGGACCCATGCTCACTTGAATAAACAGCCATGTGCAGTGTAAGTAAAACAAATCTGAATTTGTTTTTCACATGACTGAAGTTAGCACAGCAAATTTAACTATTAAATAAGCTGTGCATTCACTTTGCCAAGCACACTTTCTCTGCTCCTTTTAGTAAATCAAGCTCTCTTCGTTCCTATCATCTATATTCCCACAGTGCAGAACTGTTTTTTCTTTTTCTTTATTCCTAATATGCACATACCTACTTCTGCTTGTGTATATCAGAAACAGGCACAATCACTGCATTTTCCACTTTTTCATGTGATTTCCAAGATGATTTTGTACTTTTTTTTTAGTACAATAATAATCATCCTATTCAAACTTTCAGCACTAAGCTACTGGACAGCTCCCTGGTGATATGTAGCATAGACACTACAAGTAGTTCCTGTCCTTCAAACTAAACTACTTACTGCTATAGTAGTGGTTTGCAAAATGCAAATCGTACCATCATTTCTAACCCCAAAGCAAAATGGTGAGATATGAATGCTTAGAAAGCACAATATACTGTGGTGTTGTACTTCAAAACATTATATACAATAAACTGGTACAGGATGGAGAACAGGCACAGTAAAGAAATCATTGAACAAATATGGGTTACATGAATGATAAGTGCTTGAAATAAACACAAAATACAGCAAACTGCATGTCCTAGATTAGGCTGAAGTGTAATATACTGTTTTAGTTTTTTGCAAGTAGACAAGTCTAACATTTAAGCTTGTGTGCAGAATGCACTGTATGCCTTACAGGTCCACACATGCATTTGCACTATAGCTACTCATCTGCTGGTCAATAAAGAATTATACTCCCAGTTTATTACCTTTTTGTTCCATCATATATGCTATGGGGCCTCCTATACCTTCATTGATGCCATAATATACATGCTATCCTGTCAACTGTCCTGTGCTGATCTCCCTTTAAAATGGCAAACTACGCAATTAGTTTTATGGTACAGAACCTAGTTTTACCTTGCTCTACAGTGCATACTACATTGACTGCTGAGCAGTACATTCAATTACCTACCCTCCATTCTACTGTACACAATTTATAATATAAAACGGCTTACAAGGCATACCACATGCTTTCCTGCAGCTGTACTGTGTATGCTATAAAATTCTGTATATACTGTTTTAGTTTTTTGCAAGTAGACAAGTCTAACATTTAAGCTTGTGTGCAGAATGCACTGTATGCCTTACAGGTCCACACATGCATTTGCACTATAGCTACTCATCTGCTGGTCAATAAAGAATTATACTCCCAGTTTATTACCTTTTTGTTCCATCATATATGCTATGGGGCCTCCTATACCTTCATTGATGCCATAATTATTGCCATAAAATATTGTGCTGTACATTCCCTGCTGTGTCATCTGCTGTGCCGTAAGGTACCTGCTGTGTTTTCTGCTGTATGAAAAACCTAATCTGCCATTATATGCATTGCATAGTAATCCATCTGCTGCACTGACCTATACATGTTGTCCCGCATAGTAAGTGCACCAATACCTTTAGCATCTACTATGCCATTAGCTGTACAGTGCATGTTGTACTGTACAGTACTGTACAGTCCTTGACAATCCATTCTTGCACTGAAAGCACCTATCCCACCTTCTACTGTATAGAGCATCAGTACCTGCTATGCCAAGATTTATGCAGTACAATATACTTATTATATCAGTTGTATATAATATACTGAACCACAAACTGTAAGCAGCATCTGCATTGCCATCAACTGGAGCAGAACATGCTGCATATTAATCTTTAGCTGAACTCCACAATATATGCTGTGCTGTACATCATATAAACTTCTGGTGTTAATAGAGCTTTGTATATCATTATGTGTATGACAGCTATGCTGTCTGCTGTGCTGTAGCTCCTATGCCATCCGCTGCACTGCATACTACTTGAACCACGTTCTAATGTATATAGAACCTGCTAAGCAATTTTCTGTATGGTACCGCAAACTCTATACAGCATTAAAATATACTGCCATTTGTGTTATATGTACCTGCACCATCTTCTGCTGTATACAGCACCTGCTCTGCCATTAGCTGTACACTACTGCCCAATAAACATTTCAGGTGTGCTGTACTGTATATGCTCTGCTGTGGACTGTGCTGTACAGCACCTCTGCTACCCTCTCCTGTATACAGCACCTGCTCTGCCATTAGCTGTACACTACTGCCCAATAAATATTTCAGGTGCACTGTACTGTATATGCTTTGTACCATTAATTGTGAGGTACAGAACATGCTGTAAAGCACCTGCACTGGAATCTGCTGTGCATAGCAATTGCTATAACCATTGTACATGATATACTGCAATACTGTATATGCTTTTTGTGTCTGCCTTGCTCTACAATAACTACACTCCCTACCACTGCACAAAGCATCTGCTTTGCCACTAACTGGTGTAGAACATGCTAAATATTACCCTTTAGCTGTACTCCACAATAAATGCCCTGCTTGCTGTGCTGTACACTATATACACTTCCTTCTGCTATATACAGAAACTGATATATCATTGTATGTATGGTAAAGCACATGCAATCCTGTCTGCTGTGCAGTACGGTAGGTGTGCTACCCCTCGTGTATATAGCACCTGATGTACCATTAATTTTGTGGTACAGAACATGCTATACAGCCCCTGCACTGGCTTCTGCTGTATATAGCAATTGCTCTAGCAGTTGTAAATTATATACTGCAGTACTGTATATGCTTTGGTGTCTGCCTTGCTCTACAATAACTACACTCCCTACCACTGCACAAAGCATCTGCTTTGCCACTAACTGGTGTGCTAAAAATTACCCTTTAGCTGTACTCCACAATAAATGCCGTGCTACTTGCTGTGCTGTACACTATATACACTACCTTCTGCTATATACAGAAACTGATATATCATTGTATGTATGGTAAAGCACATGCAATCCTGTCTGCTGTGCAGTACGGTAGGTGTGCTACCCCTCGTGTATATAGCACCTGCTGTACCATTAATTTTGTGGTACAGAACATGCTATACAGCCCCTGCACTGGCTTCTGCTGTATATAGCAATTGCTCTAGCAGTTGTAAATTATATACTGCAGTACTGTATATGCGTTGGTGTCTACCTTGCCCTACAATAACTACACTCCCTACCACTATAAACAAAATCTGATTTGCCATTAAGTGGTATAGAACATGCTGAGCATTATTCTTGAGCTGTACTTCCCAATATATGCTGTGCTACTTGCTGTGCTGTACACCATATGCACTACCTTCTGCTGTATACGGAACCTGATATATCATTGTATGTACAGTATAGTACATGCAAGGCTGCCAGCTGTGCAGTATGGTACCTGTGCTACCCTCTCCTGTATACAGCACCTGCTGCACCATTAATTGTGTGGTACAGAACATGCCGTACATCACCTGCACTGGCTTCTGCTGTATATAGCAATTGCTAAAGCAGTTGTACATGAAATACTGCAGTACTGTATATGCTTCGGTGTCTGCCTTGCTGTACAATGACTATACTTCCTAACACTTTACAAAGCATCCACTGTGCCACTAACGGGTGTAGAACATTCTGAACATTACTTTTTAGCTGTACTCCACAATATATGCTGTGCTACATGCTGTGGTGTGCACCATATGCACTACCTTGTGCTGTATACAGAACCTGATATATCATTGTATGCTGTGCTGTACGG